ATTTGTTCTGGAGGGGTGTTTGATTTCCTGAAGAAGTCAATTAGTTGGGTGCAACACACTACTTCAGAGTCGGCTAATGTGTTCATGGGTAGAGAGAGGCTTTTTGGTTTGTCATCGATTTGTAATTCTTTCTTCAGTTCTATGGCTTTCTGTATTAGACCAGATTGCGTTTTCAGATGTCTTGGTCTATTCTCATAGGTGCTGAAGAACTTATCCATGGCAATGTGCAGTAGCTTCTCATACAGGATCAAGGCCTTCTCTTTGATAAGTGAACATGTTGTAGTGCTTCCTGTGACTAGGAGCATTGCATCAATGGGTGTTGATTTTATCCCTCCAGTAATTAGTCGTAATGCCTGGTTGTGTGCCTTCTCGAGTGGTTTGAGAGTCACCTCTGTGGCTGTAATGAGTGGCTCACAGCAATACAACATTATTGGCTGAATAAACATCTTGTAAGTGGTGTTGAGAGTTGAGCGTGCGCAGCCCCATACGCTACAAGCAAGACGCTTCAGTACATTCAGTATATTGGAGAATCGTTCTAACGACGCTTCAGGACATTCAGTCTATTGGAGACGCGTTCTGGATTTTAGCAATGTACTTTTCCACGTTAGCTTTGTGTCAAAAGTCATTCCGACGACTTTTCCACGTTAGCTTTGTGTCAAACGTCATTCCGAGATATGTGAACTCATTGGTTCTTTCTAGGGTAGTATCCTTGTAACTTAGAAGCGAGTTTATGCCAAAGAAAAAGTTGGGAATGCAGTTTTCGTGGTGTTAATCACCGTTCCATTGTTGTCGGACCAGATTGCCAGTAGTTGAAGGGCACAATTTAGGGCGCTTTCTGTCCTCTCATGAGCGTTTTCCTTAGGGGGAGAATACTAAAGAACAGGATCATTTGCACAAAGTAAGGACTTGATGCCCATGACTGAATCGATGAAGACATTGAAATTGCAGCTTGTGACAGCTCCCTGTGGAAGGCCTGTTTGTAAGGCTGGGACAGCTCCCTGTGGAAGGCCTGTTTGTAAAAGATTGGATCCTATAAGACATTGAAAAGAGTGCAGCTTGTGACAGCTCCCTGCGCAGACCCGAGTGCAGCTTGTGACAGCTCCCTGTGGAAGGCCCGTTTGTAAAAGATTGGATTTTGATAGAGCATTTCCATGTGACTTTACACAATCGTCCAATGAATGCTTTTATCCAATTTAGCATGTTATGCTTTATACCAATTTTTGCCAAGTTTAAAATTAGCTTCTTTTTCCATACTATGTCATATGAAGAATTAGCTTCTCTTTCCATACTAAGTCATATGCTGACTGAAACAGCCGTAAGGGTAGTTCTTGCATCAAGGGCATCTTTGGTGTGTTGGGAGAGTAAGGGTATTTTTTGCATTAAGGGCATCTTTGATGTGTTGGAAGAAAGTGTGGTTCGTTGATCTTTGTGGCCTAAAACCTGCTTGTTCATTTCTAAGATTGTTGTAGGTCTCAAGGAACCAGGTCAGCCTCCTGTTAACCATTCTTTCCATAAGTTAAGCCCAGGTCAGCCTCCTGTTAACCATTCTTTCCATAAGTTTCGTCAGCACGCTTGTGAGGGAGATATGCCTATAGTTGTCAGGGTTGCTAGGGCCTTTGCCCTTTATAGTACTGGTATTACAATGGCAACTTTCCATTGGTTAGGT